CCCCACTGGATTTGTCATGCAGAAGAGCTGTCAGCTGGTGAAGAGCTAGCACAGAACTGCATCTGACAGTCCCTGACAAACAAAAGTCCAGCTGCACAGAGATGCCTGCAGCTTTTTCCCTGACAAATGTCTGAGCTTGCTGTTGTATTCCCTTCCTTACAGCGCTGGTTCTAGCTCTGCTTCCATCCACGCTCCTCCCAGCTGGAGCTTGCTTTTTTTCTTTGCTGCAAATACTCCCAACTTTTGTGTATCTTACTCACTGGAGACTTGTCCTGCTGTGGTCCAGCTATGTCTGGTAGGCAGAGGTTGGCTCCTAGCCCTTCTTGAAATGAAGTTGGGTTTTTTTCATTTCTATTTCTGCTTTGTAATGTAAGGAATGTGCAAATACTTGAGGAAAACCAGCCAACTTCTATTTTTACCTGACTCGGGCAAATACTACTATTACTTGTTCATACTCTCCCACACAACCTGTAACCTGTTTCTTTTAGATGTGAGAGAACACTAAGGTAGGTTGAAAGATGCCTTAGGAGAAATGTCTTTAAAATCAGGTTTTTATTGCTTCCTTCTGGGCTCCAGTGCAGTGTAGTTCCACCCTATATGTCTGGGTGTCTTGAGCTGGTGTTTCTCACCCCAGGTAGTGACTTATGTCCTGTGCAGGCTTTTTCCAGGTGTGCTAGAGCAGCAGCATCACAGTGGTAGATTATTCTGAAACACTGTTTTGTGTGGCCTCCATGTTGTAGTCTTCAGTAAAAATAATGTTGATTCAGGATTTGAAAGAGGGTGTTTGGCTCAACTGATCCTGTTACATAGAGTGCTTCTTGCAGGCAGATTTTGGGAGCTGGGCAGGTAACACTGTGGGGAAACACTTGGCTGTTGGGTTTTATTCCTGGATCTGACAGTGCTGAATCATGCTGTTAAACCTAATGTTCGTTGTTTTTGTGGTATTTTCAAGCATTTGGTGAATTCTTTTCTTAAATTATATTGAAGGTCTAGAAGGAGGGAGTTTCTGTCTCTGCAGAGAGACCAGTGCATGACTGCAGACTTCAGACATGGAAGCTGCAGTAAAATGGCCAAATGTACAACATGGGCTTTAGGTTATTGTAGGACTTTAAAAGGGAGAGACAGACTTTTTTTCTCCACTGTTCTTACTAACTTTTTTAATGTCAGCTTCAGTGTCAGAGAATGCAGAGCCTACACCTGAAGAACAGGACAAGTCGCTTGACAAACCAAAACAGAAAAAGAATCGTTGTTTCATGTGCAGGAAGAAGGTTGGACTGACTGGTAAGAAATACTGATTTCAGTTTCCTTAGGCTTGTTTAGGCTTTGGCCCTTTGAAATGTTATCCTAAAGGGAAAATGGGGCATGGTCCTTTGATACTGATTTGGAATAACAGTCAAAGGTGCTTTCAGCTGACTCTTACTAGATTAGTCATTCATGTATCATTTTGTTTTTCAGCCTCCTGTCTTAAAGTGAAGTTCATAATTCCAAATACTTCCTTTTGGAAGTCTGCTTAGCTAAGGAATTGGATGGTAGTTTGCTGCCATTCACTAGCCAGCTTTGCAGTGCTTCAGTGAAAGGGCCTAAGTTCTGGAGGGTGAAGATTCATAAACAAGGCAAAAGAGCAGGAGTTCTCTAGGAATGTTCTGTGCTAGAGTGTCATGCAAAAAGAAGGAATGGTCAAGTCAAATCTTGCTGTAATTGCTTAAAAATGTATTACTTGTGATTCTTATGCTTTCTGCAGCAGAGGCTCTTTGGCTGATTGATTGCCACTGGTGACTGAGATTTACTGCTAGTGAGTGAACACATTCAGGATTTAAAGCAAACCAGTGCAATTAAGAATGTTGACATGTCTGAGCTGCTGTTTCTGTCCACAGGGTTCGAGTGCCGGTGTGGGAACGTTTACTGTGGAATGCACCGTTACTCAGATGTACACAGTTGCTCTTACAATTACAAAGCTGATGCTGCTGAGAAAATCAGAAAAGAGAATCCTGTAGTTGTTGGGGAAAAGATCCAGAAGATCTGAACTGCTGCTTCTGCTGGAATACAAAAATCTTCTGACCATCTGCAGATTAAATTGACTTGAGCTTTTTTTCCTTAGTCATCAGGAACGTAGAGCAGTGTATCTTGCCTAGACCTTTTAATCATGCATGTCATCAGATGAATAGATTTTTTTGTTTTCGTTTTTTTTTGTTTTGAAAATGACTCTGAACATTATTTTCATTGCAGTTTTCTGTGGCTGAAGACTTAAGTAAACTTTACAAGTATTATCCTTTAAGATCATTTTAATTTTAGTTGAGTGCAGAGGGCTTTTATAACAAACATGGAGAAAATATTGGAGGGCTGTGCTTTTCCAGGATAAAACATGCATGCGTTAACTTTGCAGTTTATTTTCTTGTTGTATATAGCTTTTCTCTGCAGCACAATTTCCTTTTTTTTTTTATTGATAATGCCTTGTATGGCACAACTAGTTATCAGTAACTGAATGTATTTTAATCATTATGGCTGCTTCTGGTTTTTTTTTCCCATTAACGAGAGGTTATACATGTTCGCATATTAGCTTGTTTGCACCCTCTACCTATTTATGTATGAATCATTTGTAATGAGAGTGTGTGCTGAGATTGTGTGGGGTTTTTTGTTTTCTTTTTTTTTTTTTAATTGGGGTTTGTTTTTGTGTGTGTGGGGGGAAGGCTGTATGCACTTCATTGACTGCAGTTTTCATTGGGATTACATCCATCAGTTTGTCTGTACACAAATATGAAGAATGATCTGAAGTACCTGTGCTGTATTTATGTTTATCCACGTCTTAACTTTGATTAAATAAAATTTAAAAAAATCCGAGCCCCTGTGGCTGTCACTGGCATATGTAAGTTGGATTTCTCTTGCTTTATTTTAATGGGGACCTTCCATTGGTGATTCCTTTAAAGTTTATTCATTTACAGCTACCATGTGTATCCCAATGCCAGTTAAATTCTGATGGGTTTTTAAATTTTTTCACCTGTAACTACCAGAGACACTGCAGCTTCCAGACCTTGTCTGTTGATTTTAAAATTCAGAATGCTCTTAAAAAGCTATGGCTGGCAATTAATAGATAAAGCAGTACATGTAGGATATAAACTGTACAGCAGAAGGAGTTTTTCTGGTAGTTAAAGTAATCTGCAAGACTGAATAATAAATGAAGTAGCTTGTGCTTGCAGAAATGGCCTAACCACAATCTACGAAGCACATGGAGTTTATAGTAAAGGAAGGAAGGAATAAATAACTTACTGGCAAGTTTCAGTAATGGTCTGCCTTATCATGGGTCAGAGAGCCTGTATTTCCTCAAAGCATTTGCTAAACTTCCTCTTACACAGCACAGGGCATGGAAGAGCAGCAGTGTCACCTTTGGTGGGTGTTTCTGTTTGCTTTCCTCTTTGCTGCTACTTCCCTATTCTCTAATCCTTCTCACATTGAGTTCTTCCCTATTTCTGGTCTCTCTTTTCCTTTTCTTTCTCCTGTGTGCCCTCCTGACCAATCTGCCTTTCACCTTTCTCTGCTTCTGGGCCAGGCAGAGAGAACACACCATAGATTTCACAAAGTGGGGGAAAACTTGGTGTGTTTGTGTGTTCTGGTGCCTGAAAGAAGGAAAGGTACGAGAAAAGTATTCACATACTTCCTGTCTGTTTTATAAGCTTACATTTAGACTGGATGTCCACACATGGAATTGTCATGTTTGTTTGCTTTGGTAATGGTCCTGTGTTATCCTGGTGGTTGATCTGCACTTCAATCTGTATTTTGTGTCATCAGCTTGAGGTTAGCAGATTAACATTTTAATTAACACCAGCACATTCACAGCACTACAAAATGCTTGAGTCTGTCTGCTCATGTTGGGCTCTATATTGGAACAGGTTTTCAACGTGGTTTTGTTTCAGTTTTGGAATAAGCCGGTTCTATAGCCAGGTTCTATAGCCCAGATCCCATAATCTGTCCACAAAACCTCTTCAGTGTGTTTAAAACATTTCCAATAGTCAGGGGAAATTTTACCAGAAATCTTCCACAAGCTAGGCATTGTGATATTTAAGCAAGACCCCTTTTCAAACAGCACCTTGTGAGCTTGTGTCTCAATGAGGGAGCAGCTGTTATATCATCTTGCACTGAATCTCTAACTGTTCCATTTGCTGCATTTCTTCTAACAACTCCTCTGTCAAAAAATAAAAAAAAGGTTGAGCAGCAAACCAATTTTTTGGTTTGGCAATGACAAGTGTCTTCCTTTTTTTCATTGGAAAGATATGGCCTTTGCTATTTAATTTTGAGGATGTTCCCTCATTGGCTTCTACTGACTGCGTGAGTTTTCTGCTGCAGGTAGGAGAATGCTGGGACTGGGAGCAGAAGCATCAGCCTCCCTGTTCTTTATGGCTGGCTGCACATGCCTCTGGTTTTAAGGTGGTTTTGAACTATCTGGAGAAAATGGAAGAACTTGACGAGGTGCAGCAGCATTACAAAACTAAAAACCACAGAAGGTGCAGTGTGAATTGTGCAACTTCCCAAGGGCTGCTGAGCTTGTGGTGGGAGAATCAGTGTGGACATGATCACTTCACCAGGGCCCTGGCACATAAGTGACCCCTCCAAAGTGAAACCAGGGCAGTTACCTCTGCTCTGAGCTGCTGGATCCTTCACCCCCAGAGTTACCTGTTGGAGGAAGGCCTTGGTTTCATGTGAGAGTTTGTAAAATCATGGAAGTGTTAAGGTTGGAAAAGGCCTCCAAGAACATCAAGCCCAACTGCTATCCCAGGTCCCCCCCCTAAATTTAGCACCACATCTACACGTCTTCTGAACACCTCCAGGAGAGGTACCTGTGAGGAGAAGACCCCCTTTCTCCGGGGTCCCTGCCTGGCTGGAACAATTCACAGCTGCTGACTCAGGCCAGCCTCTGGCACTGATTAACCACTGCCAGGGCCAGGCAGGGGGTGGGATGGCCACGGAGCAGCGATTGGTTTGTGCCTCAGGGCAGAGGGTGGGATTTGATGCCCCTCTGCTCTGGGTTGCAGCACCTGGAGAGGATCTTTTTCCGAGGAAGGCACAAAGCACCTGGGAGGTGGGAGCTGTGTGCAAGCAGGGGCTGCTCAGGGGTCAGCATGTCTTTCATCCAGGTAGACAAGGACTCGGATTTTCCTCTCCAAAACCTCCCCTATGGGGTTTTCTCCACGAAGGAGGAGGTGAGTAACAGCTAACTTTGTTCTTGGGATGTTGTAATTCTTCCAAGGCAGTGAGACAGCAGGAATTCCCAGCAATGTGGGATAAAGGAGACTTCCCAGCCTGAGACACTCATGGGCTTCCTGACCTGATGGCAAAGCTGTAGCTGACACATTGTCTGTTTCCTTAGTGTGATTGTTTTGATTACAGCTTTGAAACTGCACAAAAGAAATCTGAAGTGTTAATACTGATGAGAAATACTTTGGCTAATATGTACAGTACTTCTTGTGTGGTTTTGATAATTTTGACATTTGACCCTTCCTACGCCTACGTAGAGGCACAGCACATTTCACACTCAACTTTTTTTATTTTTAATGCAGTCTTTCATTTTCTTTGTGACTGTAATCACACCACCACCCTTAAAAAGCCCCAGTAACTACTGCTCTTGGGGAGTTTTGTTGGTGGCTGCCAAAGCATTAAACCAGGACACCAAATGTGTGTTTTACCTGTTTTTGCAGCTGACCTGTTGTTCTATTGGGTGTGTGTTTATGCAGTGCTGCATTTTGTGTGTGCAAATGTGTCATGTTTGAAGCTGGGCCTGAAGCCTGCCAGCTGAACCAGCTCCAGGCCTTCTATTTATGATGATCACATAAGAAAACGTGACTCAACCTTTCTACCAAGGAGGTAGCTCTCAGTTCCCAATTTTCATGAGAATTGAGCCCAGCAAGGCTGAACCTCACACCTCTGAGTGCCTGACAGGATGGAGCTCCTGGAGATAGGGAAGCAAGCCAAGAGCTGCTTCTCAGAAGGAAAAAGTGGAGAATTTATTTGTCACTGCTTATGGAAACTTCATTATTGTCTTCTGGCTTCTGCTAGTTATCCATGTAGGTTAAAAAAAATAAACCAGAAGATTGTGTTTTCTGATGTGGTATTTTCTGAAGATAAAATGAGATGGTGTGTTAAAATGAGATGGTGTGCATGCTGTTATCTAGCAAGTTTGGATTATTTTTCTTCCTTCCTCAGTAACTGTTCTCTGAAAAAGACATTTTCATTCAAACCCTGTGAAATGACAGGCAAGACTTACAGAAATTATTTAGGAGAATAATGTTGTGATGGTAGCTGAATATTTTAATGATTTCAGGCTAAAACAATTGGTGTCATTCCTGACTATCCCAGTTACAAATTAACCTGACATGACCTTTAGTTTTTTCCTGCAGGAATATTTGCTGAATAAATGCCTACTACCGCATTTGGAATCTTGCTTGGAAATTAAAGGTTGAAAAATAGTTTTAATAGCGTGGATCTTTGAAGATGGTTATTTTGGTGAGCTGCTTTTCAGAGTGGCTGTAGTAGTTTGTCTCTCTCTGCCTGCAGACACAATAATGGAGGCTGTGGTGTGTTTTTGCCCCGTGCAGCTGCCCCGCTGTCGCCGCTGGCTCCGCGCGCGCCCGGGGCATGAACAGGAGCTTTGTCTCCTGGGCTGCATCTGTCCCATCTCCCCATGTGTGGGATGCTGTTCCTGCAGCGAGGATCCAGCAGGGATCCAGGCTGGGCTCGGGGTCCTGAGCTCCTGGTGTGCTGTGAGGATGGGTGGTGTAGGGCAGCCTCGTCCAACGAGGCACAGAAATCATGTGCCTGGGCATGCTGTGCCTCCTGGCATCACCAGGGGAGTCCCTCAGTCCTCTGGGGAGGAGCTGGGGTGTAGAAATGACTGTTTCTCCAGTGGCATACCCACAGGGATGGAATTTACCCTGCCCATGGCCTCCCTATGCGTCTGTTCCCCACTGGTAGAAGGAGCAGTAGTGTTTTCCCTCTTCACAGCCTATTGCAGGTGGATGGGCTTATTCTCATTAATAAGGGTTGTTAATGAGCAAGTCAGCCTCTTTCTGGGGGAAAGAGGGCAGGGAGAGAAACCTCTGCTTGTTGTGCTATCCTTTCCCTAAAGGATGGGGATGAGGCTCTTTCCACCCCTCAAGGTCTGCAGGGAGTCTGCAGTGATGCTCTGCCCATAGGGCTTAACATGTTCCAGCTGCCAGCCTCAGACTGGCTCTTGAAGGTCCATTGCTGAGGTACCAGCTCTTTGTCCTGGATTGGTTAAACTCTCTGTCTTCCTCTATGCCCTCTTTGGGGCATTTTTGGGTATAAGCATAAATTCTTCTTCTGTTCCCCCTCCTCTTGCTGCTTTGCAGCCTCGGCACAGGCTTGGGGTAGCCATTGGAGACCAGATTTTGGATCTCAGCGTCATTAAACATCTTTTCAATGGACCAGCTCTTGCCAAACACCAGCACGTCTTTGACCAGGTATTTATCAGAGTCTGTTCTGATTTCCACAAACATTTAAAAAATATTCCATAAGGTGCTTTAGCAACTTGTGGTGAGATAATGAACATGACCTGGAAATGTGTTGTCAGGCAGGTTCTGGTAGAGCAAAAACCATCACAGGTGTGATAGCAAGGACAGCAGGGGCCTTGGGGGTCCAAAGGTCATTTTCCAGGCAAGTGTCATCATCCTTTGGCAATGCAGGTGTCTGACACAAATCCTGCATATTAATTCACTCCTGCTCGTGTCCTCAACACTCCATGGGTGGGATATTAATGACAGGGAGGTTGTGTAAAGAATAAAGGTAAATACAAACAACCTCTGTCTGCAGCTGGCTGAGATATCAAAGCCAGCAGGGCCTGCAGTGGTCTGAAGGATGGGATGATGCCAACATGCAGCAGAGGACTTGTGGGGTGTGATGCCATGGGCAGGGGGACGGGTGCCCTGGGCAGCCACGGCCACATAACCCCGGGCACAGGCATCCAACACCGGCGTGGGGGTGTGGGACATCTTCCTGCAGTGAAGGATTAGCAAAATGTGGTTTTTTCTTTGTCCCTGCACCTGTGTGTCACTGTCAGCCCACCCTGAACGCCTTCATGGGGCTGGGCAGGCCGGCATGGACCGAGGCCAGGGCTTTCCTCCAGAAGCTGCTGTCAGCTGGAGAGCCCACCCTGAGGGACAACGCGGAGCTGCGGAGAAGGTGAGGGAGCAGAGAGTGGCTGCAGGCACAGGGAGCTGTGCCCTCTGTCACCTGAGCGACAGGACACCAAAACCAACAGTCTGACGTGGCCACCCGCCTCCTACGTGGGAATTAACTGGGGTTTGTGCACATCCAGTGCTTCCTTCTCTTAATTGCCTAAAGATTAATCTCTGATTAATCCTGTCACTGCCCGCAGATCCAGGGTGTCACCCTCCACCTGGAACAGCCAGCTCTGCCCTGGGTGTGTCCAGACCTACTATAGGGCTGGGCTGCTCCTCTGGGCACCCCCCTCCGCCATGGCATTCCACGGGAACACAGTTCAAGCGTCTCCACCTCTCCCACCTGCCCCGGGGCCGCCTCCCTGCCTGTCACACCTGGAGCAGGAAGGGGACACCCCCGTTTGTCCTCAGTAACCACCTGACTTTGCTCAAACTGAGCATGTGGTCAAATTGTCTTCAGCTTTGGGGCTGTGCAGGGGTGTAGGGGCAGGAGGGGAGGTCTGTGCTCTGTGCTGATGGAAAATGAGGGTGCCCATTAACCCCACACCCCTTGAGTGATGCTTTAGGCACCACAAGTGCCTGGCAGTGGGCAGCAGTTGTTCCTCCCTGTCCTGCCAGGGGGACTGGGAGGATTTAGGCTCTCATGAGCAGGACTGGGGTTGAACTGCTGCTTCATGAACAGGGCCAGCAGCTGGAATCCCCCAGGAGCCACGTGCCATGAACTCACCATCCCACGCAGCAGAGGCAGTGCTGTCCTGGGCACGGACTCTGGGATTTCTCTGTGCCCCTCGGCCAGCAGCTGGAATCCCCCAGGAGCCACGTGCCATGAACTCACCATGCCACGCAGCAGAGGCAGTGTATCCTGGGCACGGGCTCTGGGATTTCCCTGTGCCCCCTGGGAACCCAGCCAGCCCAGGGCTGCCCCCTCCCCACTCACATCACACCCTGGCAGCTGCTGCTGTTCTGTGCCCATCCCAGAAACAGCAGCCTGTGCAGTCACCAGCTTTTCTGCCAGGCTTCTTTGGTTTTTTTTTTTTTTTTTTTTTTTTTTCTGCAGGGCTTTACAAACTAAATTAAGGGAGGAGCTGGGAGGGCAAGTCAGCCTCTTCCATGCTTCTTACGGGTGGGAGCTGCAAGCTTGCTGAGATCTGAAGGCATCATTTTTCATTTCAGAGCATTTGTTCCTCAAGCTGCTGCGACGATGCACCTGCCTGCCCACATTGGTGAGTGTGGGGCAGCCAGGGGCTCCTCCACTGCCCTTTGCTCCCACACGGAGCAGCTGCTTCATTTCCAGCTGGCTCAGACAGACCCATCATAGCTGTGACAGGGAATGGGCTTTGCAGCAGCCACAAGTAGATTATTGTACATAATGAAAGGTAGGTGCTGTCTGTGGCACAAGAATAAAAGCCTGGGGAAGCTCAATAGCAGCCAGAGCACTCCTGTTTGCAATTTCCACTAAATCAGGGGTGTCTGGTGGTACATAACTCCTGTCATCAGCTTGGCATCACCACAGGCCTTTGTGACTACAGCCAGGAAAGAAACACTTGTTCAGTTTCCAACAATTTCCCCTTTTGCCATCAGAAAATATTTCAGATGTTGCAAAGTTTCCAAAGCAGATATTCCAGCACAGCCTCATGAACAAGTATGAGTTTCCACTCCCAGACCATTACTCTGCATCCCAGGTTTTCCCTCCACTCCCATGAGGACTGCTTTGGGATTCCTACATTCCTATAGATACCTAAGCATTTCCTGGTTTTGGCAGGAGTTTGTGTTTGGACTCAAACCAACCTTATCAAAGTCACTTGAGGGCATGACCTGCACAGGAACAGGGATGTGATCTTGTCCATTTTCTATCCAAGCTCTCTTCTGAGTTGGCTTTTGTCTTCCTGGGGGCACAACCCTGGTTTGGGACAAAGTCTAGCCTGTCCCATGAGGAGTTCCCATAGGTGTGATACCTTCCTGAAAACAGTTTTAGGTTGAACATGTCCTGTCAGACAATTGCTGGCTCCTGGCTCCCATGGCTACTGGGAATGGACTGCCCTGGTGTGACCGTGCTGGATCACACAGACATGAGGCATTTAGGATTCCACAGCTCTGTCCTGTGTGTGGTTCCTGCTTCTCCTTGGTGGCTGGGTCCTCCTGTGGGAGGCTGGAACTGCAGGGGATAACTTACTGCTGGATCCTCCTGGAGCTGCAGGATAATTACTGGGCTCACTAACCAGCATAATGCAAACACACCCTCCCTGTGTTTTCCCCTCATTGCTTCTGTTTTCCCGTGGCTCGGGAGGGTGGGAGCTGTTTGCAGGGATGGCAGCAGAGGGCAGCAGATGTCCTGAGTATCCTGAATCCCTGTGCCGGTACCGCCGGCTGGAGAAAAGCAGCGGGAATTGCTTCTCTCTGGAAAGGGGGCTGCTGCTTTGTGTCCTGCGTGTTCCCGCCTCTTGTCTACTGGAGACTCTAAAAAAATAAGAAAAAAAAGTCATTTTTATCTGCATAATTTATAGGTGAACTAAAATGATCTTCAAATATAATATTATATATGTTATATATATTTATATATATATAACATATATTATATATGTTAATCGCCCTTGGTGCTGTTACTGACATCCCCGAGCACTTTGCTGTCTCCTTCTCTGCGGGTGATGTGCTGCAGCCCCCGCAGATGAGGGGCTTTGCTGCCTCTGATCCCCGGTTTATGGCTCCTTTCCTCGTGCAGGAGACTACACCGACTTCTATTCGTCACGCCAGCATGCCACAAACGTTGGGATCATGTTCAGGGGGAAGGAGAACGCTCTGATGCCGAACTGGTGGGTGGAATGTTGGTTTGTTCTCTAGTGCAGCAGTGTTTTGGAGGCTTGTCTGTACATATACGTGATGTTTTAAAGGTCTGAGTAGTTTTTCAGGATCACACTGGTTTCAGTTCACAGCAGATGAGAATCAGTGTTGTCCAGAGTTCAATACCAGAACCAAATTCCACATGTCCCCAGCCCCAGATGAATCTGCACTGCCCTTCATCGCAGTGGCCACACCAGTTACTGTGCAGCCCCCCAGTTCAAAAACAAATATACCTAAAAAATTAGATTCTGCTGAGTGAAAAAAAAAACAACCAGAATTTAAGATCCAAGGAATTAACTGGAGCAGTGGCACAGCAGTGCATTAAGACTGCAACACGGCTTTGTTATTATATTCCATTTCACTTCCATCCTTATATCAGAGTAAGGTGCTGAGGTCTGTGCCCATGCATACAGAGCTCCTTCTCCTTGTACCTCCCACTCCCGTGGTGCTTCCACCCCAAAAAGCTGCTCTGTTACTCAGCTAACCCGGGCACTGTGGTGCTCTTTCTCGAGGCTGCACTTGCCTGTGGGTTACCACGGCCGGGCGTCGTCTGTCGTGGTGTCTGGGACGCCCATCCGGAGACCCGTGGGACAGATGAAACCTGACAATGGTGAGTTCTGCCAGGATTTTAATCCGGATTCTTATTTCTTTCATTCTGTAATTTTGCTCCACATGATGGAGTAGTGGAGTGGAAGGGTCTGGGATGCCTTGCCTAAAGCCCAGCCTGGGGTCAGGGTGAGAGAAAGGCCTGGTTTAAATACATTTTCTGTTCCATGCCAAGCAGCACCAGCTGCCGATTCTTTTGGCCATTACTTCTATTTCCCTAGCTGCCTCCCTGTTGTAATATATTCTTGCTTCTACCCACAGATAAACCCCCAGTGTTTGGTGCTTGTAAACGTCTGGATATCGAGTTAGAAATGGTGAGAGGTTTTTTCTCCTTATGACTTGAAAAATATTAAAATAGAAACAGGGAAGAAAGGGTGGGTTTAGCTTCTTCTAAACTCAATGTCCCATAAGGTCCACTCCTGTGTTCCTCTCTGGGCTGTCAGTGCTGGAGGCAGTAAGGATTTCTGTGGAACAAACCTTTGCTTTGGGTGAGGAGCAGGGTGCCTTAGCTCGTTGGGAGGTTTGCTCATACAGCTCTCAGGCTGGAAAAAGCTCACCTGGCCAAAGCTGAGCACCAGTGGTGCAGTCAGGCAGCAGAATTCGTTTTCACAGCCACCACAGCCAGTTTCCTGGTCAGCAGTTACCTCTGCACTGCAGCCAGGATCCATCAATGGACACGGGGGCTGGGGAGTCCAGGCTGTCTGCACCTTGTGCTGGAAGCCCCGAGTTCTTGGCAGTGGGATTCAAACTCCTGATTCTCCTGCCTGGAAAGTTAAAACCTGTGCTGTGGGTGTTGTAAAAAAACATGGTGGGAAGTCACATCATGCTGTGGCTTAGTGTGGTCCAGAAGGGAGGGTTTCATAGGATTCTATTAAGGTTTATATCATTTTAATAGCTTATATAATTTTTGTATGTTTTATTCCCAATCCTTTCCCTTTAAAAAAAAGTACTGGAAGAAGTGTAATATTGATGGAAATGGTTATAAAAATGCAGTGAAGCTCTTTAATGCTGTGTGCTTTGCCAATCAGTGCTGTAAGGGGAGATGCAGTGCCACAAAGTGGGGATCCCACAGCTCTGCTTTCCAGCCCGAGTTCTACTGCTGGCTGCTGCAAGAACAGAAGGAAAGACTTCCATATTGTAGACAGAAAGAGACAGCTGAGTTTTCCTGTAAAATCCTCTGCATGTGCAGGCTGTGGATTCCTATGGAATGAGTGCAGGCACCCAGTTCATGGCCTACTTTACTCAGTGGGCACATTTCTCCACCTGTTTTTCCCCACTGTCTCATCAGGCTCCTGCCACGTTCAGGGTCCCCTTGGATGACTTTAAACTCCTTCCTGTTCCCTGTCTGCAGCAATCAGTCCCTTCAGTGGGCAAACCTGTTCTGCATCCAGATCTAATTAGGAGGGACCATTTTTTCCTCCTGCATTTTGACAACATGGTGCCCTTGTTTAATGCCTGTCTCTTAGCAACACAGAGCTCTTAAGTAATTCAAGCCTGCCAGCTTCATGGAGGGGGAGAAGAGGGGAGCAGGCCATGGGTTTTGTCCAAATGTGTGTGTGGGAAATGGTGCAAAACTCATCCTGCCCAGCCTTTATTGCTGCTGTCCGTAACTCTCTGTGCTGTAAAGGCTTTTAGCTTCAAAAACATAATCAACACATCATGATTTTTGATTTCAGGCATTCTTTGTAGGTCCTGGGAACAAGTTTGGGGAGCCCATTCCCATCAGCAGGGCCCAGGAGCACATCTTTGGGATGGTGCTGATGAACGACTGGAGCGGTGAGTGAGCTGTGGGATCCTGCCTGGAGAGGCTGAAATTACATATTCTAATAGCAGAACTGATCACTGAAAGCACTGGTACACTGGAAGGGATGAAAATGAAGAGTTGCCTGTATCAATCCATCTTTGATTAATTAGTAGAAGCAGAAATTGCTGCCTAATGAAGATTTATTTACTTATGGAAGAGTTAATTTCAGTCTAGTTTCTTCTGGGCAGGGATGGAGGAGTCCTAAGAATGGTGATACCAAGGATGGTGATTGATTTCAGTGTCAGGAAAAGGATCTGGCAATCACAAATCCCTCAGTATCTGCAAAGATTTAACTTGTTGAAATTCTCCCTATGGCTGGCAAAGACCATTAGCTGGGTATAAAAGGATTATTATAGATTTATTTTTATAATTTATCTATTATAAATTATATAACATAAATTACCAATATTATACATTATAAAAAATTAAAGAGTGGGTAAAAAATACTGGTTATATGGGGATGATCTGGTTTGTTTTGCTTATTGTTGATTTATCATCCTAATCTAGCTGACCCAAGAAAATTGGATTGAAAATGGATGGATTTAAATTAGGATTTGGGCACAACAGCTAGAAAAGGCTGGGTGTAGTAGCAATTTTAATTCATGTTACTCTTCCATGGGTCTGATGGATGTGCAATTCCCAGGATATGTTCACCTGCATTGCTTTGAATGTTCTCTTCCCAGCCCGTGACATCCAGAAGTGGGAATATGTTCCTCTGGGTCCTTTCCTGAGCAAAAGCCTTGGCACAACCATCTCTCCGTGGGTTGTCACCATGGAAGCTCTCATGCCATTTGTGTTGCCAAACCCTGTCCAGGTCAGCAAGAGCAAAGGTTGAAATAAAGGAAAAGCAGTGCTGGAAAAATGTCATCAGAGCAGGAAGGTGCCTTCAGCAGAAATCACTGAGCTGCCTCCATGCCAAGGATTGTCTCCATGGAATCCACAGCTGGGATTCTGCTTCTGAGCAGATGAAGCAGCCAGGGCCCTCTGAGCCCAAGTGCTCATTGATGCCACTGGCCCTGGCACATGTTGTGCTGTCATCCTCCTTGAGGGGGGCAGAAAATCATCTTTAAAACACCTGGAAAATAAACTAATCAGAGCTTCTTCTGGGTCCTTGGTAGCACTTAGCATCCAGTAAGTGGTGGAGAGAGGCTGGAGTCAAGCCAGAACACTTTGTTCAGGCATTTCCAGTTGTCTGCATTGTGCAGGTGGTTAAAACTGGAAAAGATAAGAGAGTCTTGCAGAGACCTCACCATCTTCTCTGTGCAGGCACAGAGCAAAGGTGTGCTGGCACTCTGTGCTGGATTAGCATCCATGCTGAAACGATGGGCATGGCTTTTGCAAGCCTTGTGCAGAGAAAGGAATTGGATTACATGGATATCATGTCTGTTCAGTAAAATCTTTGAAAGTGTGTGCATGAGACCAAGAAAAGTGATAATCTGAGCAGTAAGAATGGTGGAGTGAATGGGTTGTGCAGCACAGACCCGGTACACCAATACTCACTGGAATGTCTTGTGGATTTTAAAATTCCTTTTGATTTAGACTGTGATGTGTTTTTTTAATGTGCTTTTAGGATCCTAAGCCGCTGCCCTACCTTCAGGATAAAGAGCCCTACACTTTTGACATCAAGCTCTTTGTTGCCATTAAAGGTATGGCGAAGCTGAGTGGGTTACAAAGCTGCAATTGCCAATTAAATTTTGTGGCACCACCACAACCCCCAGGCACTTGGCTCTGGGCTCTGTGCTCCTTCTTTTCCTGCTTTGCCCAGAGAAAGGGGCAGAACTGCTCCCTGCTGGAGCAATGTGCCAAGCAGGGAGTGCCCCTAGCTGGCAGCTCCCCTTGAGGGTCCCTCAGGGGTCTCCTTGCACAGGCAGGGTTCATCAGGGCATGGAATGAGCAGATTTGTGTGGGATCCAGATGTTAACCCAGCTCAGCCTCCACCTTAGGGCCCTGCTGACCAGGGATGGTGCCCCAGTGCAATCCCCACACTTGTTTTCCATGAAATCCCAGTCTTCATGGCAATAGAAAATGTTATTACCGCTTTTTCACTAGGGATTACAGTGATAAAAGAACTCTCCATCCATCTGTAAAATAAAAAGACTCCAACATCATTCATCCAACACAAAAAAATTGCTTTTCTCTTTTTTATCCTTTATTTTCTGCAGGAGAAGGAATGAGCACACCAACTACTATATGCAGATCCAATTTCAAGGTAAGGCTCCAGAATCTTTTGTTTATTTGCAATCTTGCTGATGCCATCAGCTTCAGCCCAGGCAATTTCAAACACTGCTTTTTGCATTAGACTCGTAGAACAGGATCATAGAACCACTAAAGTTAGAAAAGACCTCCGAGATCATCCAGTCCAAATGCCAAGCCCATGACCCAACCATGTCCCTCACAGCCACACACCTTTTGAACACTTCCAGGGATGATGAATCTACCACTTCCCTGAGCAGACAAAAATTTTCAATAAAATGAAGAACATTTCATTTTTGAAAGATGAAATGAAGATGGTGATGGTTCCCCCTGTGAGGTGGGAACCCTGAATGCTTGATGAAGGGGACAGCTCTCCCTGCTGCTCACCCTGGGGTGCCCAGAGCATCCTTAGCTCTGTGCCCATTCGGCAGGGAGAACAGAGGACTGCAGGAAGAGGGAATTGTCTCTTGCAGTACAGCTCTGCAGCCACAGCTCTAATTTAGATGCACTCACTGCTGCCAGCCTGGGTCTGCCCCATCCCCTCTGTGGGCAGCGTGGTGCCTCTGCCTCCACCCACTGATTGAAGCCAGCAGATTTATGTGCCAGCTGCAGCAGTTCTCAAGCCATTTCATATTCACATTTGGCTCTTGGCATAGTAATTACCTTAATCAGTAAATCAGTAGTCAGCAAATCAGTAATAAGTAGATTTTTCTACAAGGCTGTTAAAATACTGGGTGTAGTCATGGAGCTTGGGTCAGCACTACTGGTCTTAGAGAGGAAGAAGAGATTTAAAATGAAATCCAGCTGAAATAAGAAAAATTTTAAGGGACTAATTTGCATGTTAAAGTGTGGGGTTTATGAATGCCATAGGCCAGGCCACATGACTCCATTTTGCACAGCCTAATGGCCTCCAGAGAAGTTTGTCCTCGTTGCTTCCTTGCTTTAGCCCCTCTTCCTCCTTCCTCCAGCACATGTACTGGACCATGAAACAGCAGCTGGCTCACCATTCCATCAATGGCTGCAACCTCAGGCCTGGAGACCTGCTGGCCTCTGGCACCATCAGTGGACCTGTAAGTGTTGAAACGATGAAATCACTGGTCAGCAACTCAGAACCAGCAGAGCAGGGCTTGGGGCTGAGCCCTTCCTGATCTGAGCACCAAAAACTATCTGCAGCTCCTTCCCAGGCACTCTGGGGTGCTGCTTTGGTGGCCCCAAACTCACACTGGGAGGTGGTTTGGTTTGGGTAGGGTTTTTGCTTGGCTGTTTTTTAATGTTGCTGAGTTTTGGGGTTTTGATCTCTCCTGCGCTTCTTTCCCTAAGAATTATTTTACAATAGATGCAAATTAACTTCTGTGTGGAAGCATCCTCACAATCCATTTGCCCTCTATGAAATGCAGCTTTGTATTTCTGAAAAGAATGTAAAAGGTGCCTGGATATAACTTTTAGTTTCTCCAATGAAGCTGGAGCCAGCTTCACAAGCTGTTGCCCCCCTTGAGCTGCCATTTGGACAGTGGCTGCAATGTATGGGCAACCCTCACTTTCTGAACCACCAAACACAAATCCTGTACATGCTGTCTCAAAGACAGCCTCAGGTAAGGTGTTTGCAAGCTGGGATGCCTGTACTTCACTTTTGAGCATTTCTGAGGTGCTTTTTGAATCTTCAGATTATTGTAAAGACTCACAAACACCAGCTTTGCTCTTCTGAAGAACAAAACGTAATTAAAAATCTGAAATATGAATACATAAATGCACTGGATTTGTAGAAGCCTCCTCCACTTGTTTCCATTCTTGCTGTGGCAGACCCAAACTGCTTTAACAGGTTGAACACTATGTTAAATACACCAGATAACAACAGCTGTAAGCATCACTGCTAAGCCAGCAAGAAATTAAAATGCCGTCGGGAAAAGGACCCAATGTATCAATTAATTAAATCAACAGCAAAACTCTGTTCTGTAGAGGTAACCTATTTGTGTGTCTGCTCCCAGCAGCAAGAAGCTGAACAGCAGGAAAGATACTAAAAAATTGTTTATTTGTTTATGAACTCTTGCTGCAGGAGCCAGAGAGCTTTGGCTCCATGCTGGAGCTGTCCTGGAATGGAACAAAAGAGATCCCTCTTGGCAGTGGGCAGTCTCGTAAATTCCTGCAGGATGGAGATGAAGTAATTTTGACAGGTAATGGCTGGATAACTGCTCTCACACTCAGCAAGGACATTTCCACAGGCTGATCCCAGCAGCACGAGCCCCTGGTGTGGAGCTGGGCTGTTCTGTGCACACCTGCCATGCAAGCACAGCTGTTCCATCTACCTGTGAGGAGGCTCAAGCAGGGGATGGAAATTTCCCTGCCATAAATGCTTTCTAAATGGATTATTTGCTTTTCCAAGTCCTTAATGCTCCTGCTATGCCACTGTGTGAGCACCCCTTGGTGATGGAGGTAGGTTTGCCTTTATGGGTGAAAATACCCCAGGACTAGGAGCAGTTAATTGTTTCCACCACAGTGCAAGTTTGCATGTGGAGCAGAGCTTGGCAAATGCTAAAAAAAAAGTTATTTTTCAAATAATATTTAATTTGTAACTTAGGCATATTCAGTGAAGTGTGTTGCAAATCAAGTATGTGGGAAACCATGGAGCCTTCTAGAGCAGCTGACCTTTCCCTCTGGAAAGGGCTCTGCTTGAGACCTGTTTCATGCTGAGACATTATTTTAGTTTTCATCTTGATAATCTAAGGATTTTATGAATTAAAACCTACCACACTGTTTTGTGATCTAAATCCCACTCCTACTTATTTTTGACCCAAAGCCCTAGTGCAAAACAAATCTATTTTTTCCTTTCCTCTCATGTTTGGTGTGGCAAATATTTGGCAAGAACAGCCATGAGAAACTTTTGTTTCAAGCCTGCAATATCTTTGCTGTGTGACCTACTGGGATTTTAAGGAATGTTGTGTGTCACCAGCTGAGACCCAGCCAGTGCCACACCTGGCTCTGAGCAGCTCCATCCTGTGATGTGATCAGAGAGATCTGCACAGGAGCACATGGCTCAAGCAATGGGGAAAGACTGCACAGGTGTGACTGAGGGCAGAGGGAATGTGAGTGACAAACACCTGGGCAGCTGCCTCGTGGTGTGAGATTAATATGTGCCTCTGTACCTGGGCCTGCCCAGCCCAACCTGGACTCCTAGGATTTCTGACAAAACAGTTTAAAATTATAAACTGTTTTTCTCTGAAAAAAAAAAGAAAAATTAAGAAAAGTCAAGAATTTTCTGTGATTAAAAAAAAAAAAAAAGGAATGTATGTATTCCTGTCCCCTGGCAATTCCAGTGCCTCCTGCCTGGCAGCCCATCCAACAGCCTTGAAAATCATGTTTCTGTGAGCTGTGCCAGTTGACAGAGGCAGATGCTGAGACAGCTGGAGGCTGAGATGTGCTAGAGAGAGCCATAGGTGATGAACCTGAGGAGCCCCCAGTGCCTCTGACATCCTCCAGCCTCCCAGCAGCCCGGTGACTGAATCGTGGAGCCACCTGAGGCTGCTCTCCACAGGGACACTCCTGCAGCAATCCAAAGTGCCACACTGCCCTCCAGAGTCCCCAGCCTCCCTCCAGGAACTCTGCCAGGAGCCCTGCATGAGGGAGCAGTGAGGGGTGGTGCAGTTGCACACTCATATCCCTTTTGGCAAGGAGCACCTCACAGTTTGGGAGCTGCTGCCATGGGGAGCCAGCCTGGGGACAAATGTGACCAGCCCACGAGCCATGCTCTTCCTGCCCAGGACAAGCTATGCTAACTCATTAAATGCTTAGAATCCTGACTGTCTTTAATGTTTAATGATGGCATTGCTGCTAAGCTGGGGGAGGCAGTGGGGCAGTGCCATGGCAATTGATCTGCTGGGCCATTTCACACTGCCACGCCTTGTGGCTGTGGCACCAGGGCATTGCAGAGAGCCAGGGGCTGCTGGGGCTCTCTGGGAGCTGCTCCTATTTATTTATTTATTTATTTATTTATTTATTTATTTATTTGGTGATGTGTGGCAGATCCAGGGCCTTAAGGCACCCCTGGTGCCATTCCATCCTCCCCCAGGGCACTGCCATTAGCTCTTGCCAAGTGCTCAACACATCATTTCTGGTTTTCTGGTTCAATTTTGTATTCTTACTCCCCACGTGGGACCCATTTCAGAGACTTAACACATAAAGTGAGAGAGATGTATATCTCCCAAGAAGAGTCCCAGGGAGGGAGCACGGCAGGGGAAGGGCTCCTGCTGGTGCTGGCAGCTGCCTGCAAAACCCCTCAGTAGCTCCTTGGCACACACAGAGCTCGGGCCAGGGCTGCTGGCAGCACAGGGCTGGCTTTGTTCAGTGTGCTGCTCCTTGGTGCTGCTTTAAATTGTGCCTGACAGCAGGGATAACCAAACTGGACTGGAATAATCAGCTGCTGCTCAAAGGAAAGCTGGCAATGAAGCCTAATGAGGCAAATGGAAGCTGAGCTGAGCCTTACAGTGCCTTTTTCCACTGCTGCTTAAGGATGAGGATTACCTGGCAGATACCAGGACGGTGTCTGTGGCTTTACACAAGCACTTAGAGACACCACTGTCCTTGGAAAACTTAATTTCAGCCTGGTTGAACTGTGGGTTAGGGCTGGCAGGGTCTCTCTCTGTGCTGCAGTCACTTTGGCTGCCCTGCAGCCTGAGCCCACCCTTCCTCTTCCTCAGGGGAGTTTTCCATCTCTGCTAAGGGTGGGAATTAGGCTCTGTTCTGTTGAGCTCCTTCTTGAAGGCAGCTGTTCTTTATCACATGCAGGTGATGTATTCCATCAGGAAAATCCATCTCTAACTATGAAATAGGCCTTAAAATGCAGCATATGCCACTTGCCCTTCCTTTGGTCAGCTGCTGTAACAGGTCTCCTCAGCTGCTCTTCCCAGAACAGACTCCTCAGAGGGGCCACAAGGCCCTGGCTGTGTCCCCTCCCCTGCTTTGCCTGCAGCTTTGCTGGTGGCTGCTGCTTGTGGAGCAGCTTGGCTGGCCCATGGCTATTTTATTTGTATTTCCCTCCCTCCTCATGGCAGGGAAGAATGATGAATCTGACTCCATGTTCTCAGAAGGCTAATGTATTATTTTGTGATACTATATTATATTAAAGAAAACTATACCATACTATACTAAGGAATACAGAAAGGATACTTACAGAATGCTAAAAAGATAATAATGAAAACTCATTACTCTTTCCAGAGTCCCAACACAGCTTGGCTCTGATTGGCCAAAAAGTGAAAACAACTCACAGCAGAACCCAGTGAAACAATCACCTGTGGGTGAACCATCCCCAAACACATTCCACATGTGAGCACAATGCAGGAGAAGCAAATATGCTAAGAACTTGTTTTCCTTTTCTCTGAGGCTCCTCAGCTTCCCAGGAGAAAAACCCTGGGCCAAGGGATTTTTCAGAGAATGTGAACACCACGCGTGGCAGCAGGAGGAGCTGCAGCATCCCTGTCCCAGCCTCATCTCCTCCATCACTCGGGAGACACAGAGCTGTCCCCAGAGCTGTCCCTGGTCAGAGACACTGTCACAGCCCCGTGAGCTCTGCAGCAGAGCTCCCACCCCTCTTATAAAACACAGCATTAATGAGAACTTGGAGTCAGATGCTGAATTTCTCATGGAACTAAACCACTTTAGCAAGAGAAACAGCCTCTGCCAGGGTAGGTGCTGCTGTTGGAGGGGGTTTAATGACTGCCTTTCTGGCTGCCAGCATCCCAGCATCCCAAGAGCAGTCCTGAAGCTGCAGAAAGAGAATCCAGATTTATTTGATTAATTGCAGGGCTGGGCCAGGCAGTGAATCAGTTTGCCAGGTAGATTGATGGTGCTGCAGGTTAGGTTTGAAAACAGAAATATTGCTGGCACATCTTGTTGTTCTTTGATCAATTCACTGAACTTGAATATTGCTGTGTTTAACAGTTTGTGCTTCTTTTTTTTCTGATATTCCTGGGCTGCTTGAACTCTTCCAGGTGCTCTTTTTTTCTGCCCCTCATTGCATATCTGAGCTGTTTTCACTTGGTTTTAGTCTCTTTATGCCTTTATTCACTTTTATTGCTGGCAAAATCCCACTGTCCTCACAGAACAAGCTGTGTGTTGTTTTCTGTCCCTAGGTTACTGCCAGGGCAACGGCTTCCGTGTGGGATTTGGCCAGTGCTCAGGGAAAATCCTGCCAGCCCTGTCCAATCCGTGAGGCCTGGAGTAATGTGGCATCCAAGGAGGAACCCTCCTCCCACCTCTACCAGTCATCCTGCTTTATTCAAATTTATTATTTTTATATGAGTGATTGTGATCTTACCATTTTTAATTATCAATAAATATCTTAAAGGTGAATGTGGCTCTCTGGTTTGATAAGAAAAGGATTTCAATGCTAGCCTAAAATTCTCAGAATATGAATAAGATGATTGAAATGGAAAATGAGATTCTTAACTCTTCCACCATATTAATGTTTTTTTCATAATTATAAAAAGAGGCTTTCAAGTAAGCTTAAATATTCAGAGTACTAGGCTGATGATAAGAGCTGGGATTCCATGCTGACTTCCTTCTTCCACAGTGTTAATATGCTGGAGGTGAGATCCTGAAGGCGAGTTGCACACAGTTGTTAAAACCTTCCTGGGCAAGAGTTACATGGCTTGCCCTAAAACGATTTGCAACAAAGCAGTTTGGAAACGTGATAACCAACACTACTGAAGGCAACAGGCAGGATGTCCCTGCTCCTCCTGCCCTTACACAACCAGAGGCAACTCTCCTGCCCCAGATTGGTTCCAGGGGAGACTCTGTTGGGGCACCCTTCAACAGGTCATGGTCAAAAGATCACCCTTGTTCCTCCTGCCCTGGTTTACAGAAGGGAATTCCCTGTTCCTCTCTGGCCAGCATCCCTTGGGTCAAGGAGGGAGGGGGAATTTCATCACTGGAGTGATCCCCGGGCACTCCCTGGTGGCTGTCACACCCTGTCACTCACCAGGGGCTGTGACAGAGGACACCAGGCAGGCCAAGCCCCTTCCTGCACCCCAAAGGGCATCTCGTGCCACAGCATTCCCCTGCAGCAGCCAGCAAACACAGCCACATGCCACTTTCCTCAAGTGTAAAGGGCATCTGCTGTCTCCTGCTGGCCTACAAATCAATTTAACTCCATGGCCCAGTGCCAAATCACATCAATTAGAGGATATTACTGACTGGAGGAGCTCGGGAGACCGGATAATGAACTGTGGTGTAGTGCAAGGGGAACTTGTTAAATATTTGCTTGGTCCTCAAAGTGAAGAACCTGATGAGGCTGCTGGCTCCATGTGGTGACAGCAGGGTGAGCCCATGCTGCTGCTTTTCCAGGCTGTCCCATTGCTGCTCAAAAGCTCTGCCAGGTGGTTTTGCTGATGTGGGCTGTGAGGGCATTTAAAGTCATCCTGGGGAGCAGCTGGGGCTGACCAGGAATGTCAACCTTGGCCATGCAGAAGAGGAAATTTAATTTGAAATGAAAATTAAAGAAAAAATGTGGCAGTGCAGATAAATCATTGCTGATGGGGCATGTGCACTGTAATGGGCTTTCTTCTAGTGTGCAACAATAATAGTTCTTTAAAGAGTGATACTTGGAGGTTCATCCCCAAATCAAGGATGACCTGGCCAGGAAAACATTGGCTCTTTGTTGTTTATCAAGGAAAAGCTATTTTGCCTTCAGGCTCTTGGAGCTGAACTAATAGGCAGGTATTTATTTAATGTACTCTGACTGGATCATCAATTTATAGATGCTTTGTGTTATCTTTTGACCTCAAAGGACAATTGTGAGTTGACACCTTCCCTCCTGGATTTAGAAATAACCCATCCTGTTCCTCTGGCTTTGCTCCTGGCAGCAGCAGCAGGACACAAGAAGCATTTATCCAGGAGAGAAATTTCTCTGCAGAAGCAACATCCATGGTGCACCTTGGCATATCTGGTGTCCTGGAAGTGCAGTGTGTGACAGAGAGCTGATGTTGGGGCAATATGTCACTGGCCATCAGCTGTGACCTTGATGCAAGACACTGCACAGCCAACAAGGACTGTGCTGTCAAGGCTTTCTGGATGCAGGAATACTTAGGGGAACTGTAAATCCATAGGGCTCTTGCTGAACTTTGAGCAAGGTAAAGGCAAGTCCTGCACACACCCAATGAATTCCTCTCCCAACTGGATGCTGCAATTCCTGCCAGCAGGTGGGGATTGGGCTTGCTGCCTGCTCAGGCAGAAGGTCAGTGGTGCTGAGACCCCAAACCTGGTCAGGATGGAGGCCTCAGATCCTTCATCCAGCCTGAGATCCTTCCAAGCTGGCTCGTGCCCCAGAGCCAGCCAGCCCTGAGGGAGGAGGTGGCTTTGCAGTGGCCACTCTGGACATCCCCAGGCCAAACACCCCTGCACCATGCTGGGGATGGGTGGGAGGAGGGATGGGCCCTGTGGCCCCAAGGTGACTGAGCTGAGCTTCTCTAGCCTGGGGACACCTGGAGAAGTTCCAGATTCCCAGGAGGTGGGTAATTTCTGGAAAGGACCTCAGGCACAGCAGGTTTCAGAGGTGAGCTGGACAAAGTCCAAAATCTCAGGACAGAGCTCAGAGTCATCTGCTGCCTGCTACATGGATGGGGGCCAAAATGCCAGGAGATGATAAAAAAGGGGACAAACTTTTCTGCGTGCCCAAGACCACTTTCTTCCCCCCCAGAAGAAGGCAGTGGGCTCTTTTTTGGGTGGGCACTGTGGAGAAGGAGGGCACATGGCTACCCAGCGAGCCCGGAGGCACAGCCCTGCTGGTTCTCATCCCTGCCAGGGTGCCCCGTGTCAAGGGACAGGGAAGGGCACACCTGTGCTCCCAGTGCAGGGCTGCCCACAAAACAGCTTTGGCCTGGGACCAGCAGCACCCACTGCCTGGGGGGAAGGCAGCCTCTGACCCAAATTTTGGGAAACACACAGGTGGTGTGGGCAGCTCCTGCTTGCTCCACCTCCCTGGGGCAGCTGGGGCCAGTTTGCACCCTTGTCCTTTAACATGAAGGTCATGGAGCTTTCTTCTGGTTCTAGGGGAAACTGAGCATGGTGGAAAGATCAGGCTCTTAGCACAAGAAGGTGCTTTAGCCTAGGTGCTCTCAGTTCAACAGGCTGACTGGGTGCTTGGAAAAAGTTTATCTTTGAAGTGCCAGTTTCAATTGGATTAATTTCCTTGAGAAATCCCATGAACTTCTGGAAGATTTTGTTTCAGTTAGGGTTGAGCGTGGCTGTCTCTGCTTCTAGAGATAACTAATTTTCATTTGATTTAGATGTATTTTTCTTAGTTTGCTTATAATCTGGCTTCAAACAAAAGTGGAAAAAACCCACAAACAAACTCAGAGCTCCTTTTTCACTGCCCTGTCATAGCACCAGGTTTGTGGGTTTGTAACCTGTGTGTAGAACAAGAAAATCCTTCTTGGATCTTCAGAAGCCTGGAGGAAAAAACTAAAACCTTTCTGCTGTGTCAGCCACCCGAGAGGCCTCACTCAGGGTCATCCAACACTGTGTGAGGAGACAGAGCCTTGCTTGTGACCAGAGGAAATGGAAATGTGTGTCTGAGTGGAACCCACAGCTCCTGTGCTGGCCTGGAGCATCCTTCTCCTGCCTGGTATTTCCCACTCAGCAGCAATCCATGCTGGAGCACAGTGATCCCAGGGGTGAGTAGTGCTGGGCTCTTGGATGGGAGCTCCTGGAGGGGTGCAGGAGCTGCTGCTGGGCTGTGCTGCTCTGTCACAGGGTGGGCATAGAGGCAATAAATCATCCTGCCTGAGACTATTCCACCTGCTTTTGCTATTTTGCTGGTAGCAAAACTAAAGGCAGCCACTGTTTAGTACTTTGAGATGCATTTTCTTACAGATCAAAGCGTCGTCGGGTTGGTGTGTAATGAAAAAGCTGGGTGTAATTTATAATAGTGCTGTGGGTATAATTAAGTGTCAAAAAAAAAACAACACAAACCATGGAATAAACCCTTAAAATGTATTTCAGAATTTAAAGGAACCAATGTTTTTTCTGCTGTGAAATGCAGGCACTCTTCATCTGAAGTAGTTTTCTGCAGAGTTTCTAATTAGAAATGGGTGCGATATCTTGGAAAAAAAAATTAGTTTTGATGTAAGCATTTGGGTCAGCAATATTCATAATTCTTTCATTACCCAGGCAGTAATAACTCAAAGTAAAACACTCTCTCAGGGTGTTCAGGGTCAAGGTAGTGACTTTGTGAGGAGGGACAGGGCTGGTAGTGATACTCACGTAGCTTTTGGTGTAAAGCAGTGAGGCAGGAGAACATTTCTCAGGGTTGATTGCTGCTTCTCTTCAGAATGCCCACACAGTTGCTGCTTAGTGAGAAAGAGGGAGATCATTTCTGGGATTTTAAAATTGATTGAAGGCTTTGGGAGTACGTGAGGGACATGCTGAGGTACTGGCACCATGCTGCTCCATACAAATCGGCTGTGAGCTGTTCCTCCTTCCCAGCTTCCCTCATTCCCAAGAACTTCTTCACCTCAGCTCTTTCTGTGCTGCACAAGTGCTTGGTTTTCCGTGAAGCTTTAACCACAGACCTGTGCTCTCTGATTTGAGCTGTGCTTTCTGGTTTTACAATGCTGTTTGCTCAGTAAGCAGCTGAGGCAGGGCTGGTGTTAACACAGCTGTGAACACCCAAGGGAAATGCTGCAGGAGCAGAAGTCCCTGGTGGCAGCTGGGCATCCCTTGGCTCAGCCTGGAGGACTAACCCCTTGGTCATGAACACTGAGGGGCTGGCTGGGAGCACAGGGAGGGTTTCCTGTCCCACTCCTCCCTGTGCACTGGGTCCAGGGTGGGTGTGCTCAGGGCTCAGCCCCTGCAGAGCCCTGCATGTCCTGGACCCCACTGGGGGGCTCTGGGATCTGCTGCAGGGGTTGGAGTGTGCCCAGCTCTGCTGCCTGCTCACCCCTGCCAGGTACTTCCTTTGATCTGCAGAGGCACGACAGCAGCTGCAGGAGAAATCCAATCAATCTTAAATATGAAATAAGTTTTGAAAAACTTTGCAGTCCTTGTGGCTTCAGCACACTTAATGCAATTTTAATACATTTTTGGTTTCTGATTTCCCTGTGTGGGCTGCCTGGATAGGTTCCAGTACAAAACATGGAGCTTTGTAACTAAGAATTCTGCCACTCAATGTTTCTTAACACCATTGTGAATTGAATTATATATGATGACCTGAGAGTAAATGCAACTGGCATTTTCAAATTGTTTATTGCTTTAAAGATGTGTGTGTGAGTGGGGTTTTCCTCCTGGCTAGCAAGGTATTGACTATTTTTAATGAAAATGGCTTTAAAAAATGTTAAAAATGTGAAGGAGAGGCT